GACAAAGGAGAAGAAGAAGAAAAAGAAAGAATGGCACAGCTCCCGCCTGCCTGGAATTCTGCGAACAGCAGTTGTTACCGAGAGAGCGAGATTACAAGAGCGAAACACTTATGGAATGACTCTGCGGACATTGGGCAACCCGACGCGTTGGAAAGGGGCCAAGATGGTCGACCCACTGATCAGAATGTACTTGCATAAGTATTTCTTATCGAGGCATAACCTAAACACACGCGTATACACACTCTGTCACATCTTGCGGCTTTGTATCAGTAGACATCATCCCCAGTACTGACCATCGGCCTAACAGTATGTAGGATTTAAGGAAATCCCATTGTGTCGATGTTGGATAGATTAGCGGTAGTCCCGTTTGACTTCTTGACATCTACACCCTTGTTGTATTATATAGTAGACATTGGAAATACAGAGTACCGAAGAACTCGTTGTAGTCGGGTGTTGTCATGTGTTCAATAGAAGGTCTTACAGATAAATCAGACAAAGGGACCTACTTTAGCTGCGAGGTAATACGGGAACATGAATATCAAAGCTGGGCTTATATGATGTGGCCGGCTGTGGGTTCTAACGAACCGGCGACCAGCAGACAAGCATTCATATCTATCATACATTCTGCTACAGAAACCAACTCTCCTCCCTGACGAATGCTAAACACCGCTCTCACACAAGTCTAATTGTATTGTGCATACGCGGCAGTCGAGTTGAATTTCAAGTTGCCCTTGATCACCTTATCGACGGCGCTTAGGAAGTCTTTCTCTGTAGCCACCTTCCTCCTGGCGCGAATGGCAAACATGCCCGCCTCAGTGCACACACTACGCAGCTCGGCGCCAGTGGCATTCGGGCACAACCGTGAGATGAGTTCCCACCGGATGTCCCGTTCAACAGACATACTCTTGGCGTGGATCCTCAAAATGTTGGCGCGGCCCTCGAGGTCGGGAAGGGAGAACTCGATCTTTCGGTCGATACGGCCAGGTCGCATCAGGGCAGGATCCAAAGTAGACGGTCGGTTAGTGGCGAACATCACCTTGATGTTTCCTCGAGCATCGAAGCCGTCCAACTGTGTGATGAGTTCCAACATGGTTCTCTGCACCTCATTATCACCTCCGGCGCCATCGTCAAATCGTGCACCGCCAACCGCGTCGATCTCGTCAAAGAAGATGATGCAAGCTTTCTTTGTCCGGGCCATCTCGAAGAGTTCACGAACCATCCTGGCGCCCTCACCCACGTACTTTTGCACCAGCTCGCTGCCGATGACACGGATGAAAGTCGCATCGGTCCGGTTGGCCACAGCTCGTGCGCAAAGGGTCTTGCCGGTACCGGGGGGGCCATACAAGAGCGCACCCTTGGGAGGGTCGATGCCCAGTGCGCCAAACCGCTCGGGTGACAGCAGCGGCATCTCAACCACCTCACGCAGCTTCTCCACCTGCTCTTTGCAACCACCAACGTCGCCGTATGTGACATCGGGCTTCTCCTCGACTGTCATCATGGTGACACTGGCGTCGATTTTAGGCGGCAACGGTAAGAGGATCTGATACTTGTTGCGGTCGACGCCGACACGCATCCCTTCCTCGATGTCTGTGGGACTGACGCGTTCTCCAAGCTGCACCACAAACTTGGCAATTTGCTTAACATTGATGACGTATTTGCTCTTCGATTCGTCCTTCTCGTCGGCGATAATCTTGGTGCAGCGAGCTACTTGAAGCGGCTGCTCTTCTGACATTCTCTGGCGATCGGCGTCCACATCCCAAAGGTGAGGGGGCGCGAGGCCAGTGTCTGATTCCTAGAGTAGTGGAATGGCGTGTTAGTTGAGCATACTAGATATCATGGTGTTTGCTACCGCAGGGAGACACCAGTCGCGGATCAAGCAGCCTCGTACCTTGACTCCAATCTTCTCATCCACACTCTGCTGCTTCTCCTTTATTTGTTGCTCCAGTTTCTTGATAGCTGCTCCATATGGCGCAGCCCCATACGTCTTGAGTACTTGGATATCCCTTCGCGGTGTTAGCTATATGGCAGGCAGGCAGAGCGTGGTTGGGCCGGAGGAGTGACTAACTCATCTGAGAGAGGAGTGATCTTCTTCTCCTCGATTTCGTCGTCGGCGAATTCCTTCTTGTACTTCTCCCAGTTTTGTCCCGTAGCGGAAGGCTAAACAAAACCTGTCAGTGGATGTAGAAGACAACAGACAGCGTGGGCCAGACGTCGACCTGGATTTCGATGGAAAGGGCACACAGGACGTACCATGATGACAACGGGCGGAAATCGCTAAGTCGCTAATCCAGCACCAACCAAGTTCGCTGCACAATCGGCAGCAAAGTAGGTATAATTGAGCTGCTGTGCTAATGTGTCGGATTGTTTGGGCGCGGTTGGGTGGATGTAAGAGAGTTGGTTGAGTAGAGTGGTTAAGCGGAGCGACGGCAAGGATGGGGAAGCAACAAGCACCGAATGCAGAGGAAGCTGTTCCGTAATCCATGCTGCCTGCCTTGAGGCGCGCCAGACCAGGCCAAAGCTTGCTGCGAGGCTGAAAGCCAACTAGCCCAAAGTGGCTAGCCCGGTGCTACTTTGGCACATAAAGCTTGGCGGTGACCGGGGGCCGTAGCTCTAAAGGGGGGGAAGAACTCTAGCCGACAAAAAATTCCAGTCCCACCTTGATGAGTACCTAATTAATACGCACGCGTAGATATCAAAGAGGGCTACCTACAGCGTCAACACAATAGCACAACCCTTAGGGCCTAGCCGTCGCGACTACTCGACACGCCCTGCTCTTGATCACCTTGCCCGGCATTTGACCACCTAAAGATTTACAATATGGCGACAGTAGCCGCCAGCGCAGGAGGAAATGCGACGTTCCGTGTAAGTTTGGTTCCATACGGTGCGGTGCGGTGCACTCTCGTCGCAAGGAGCTCTCTCGCTAACCGCTCAAGCAATAGGACAAGGAGAAGCCATTGGCCGTACGGTCTGCAAACATCGTCGCTGCTAGAGGTATGCGCTGCACTGTCTTACCATGTTCGTTACGCTACTATATTGTGATATGTACTGACGACTTGGCACCCTACCCCACCTTACAGCCGTTGCCGATGCCATCAGGACATCGCTAGGCCCCAGGGGCATGGACAAGATGATTAGGAGTGGCAGAGGCGAGACCATAATTACCAACGACGGCAGCACCATGCTCAAGAGCATGTCGGTGTTGCACCCTACCGCCAAGATGCTGGTTCAGCTCTCCAACGCCCAGGACGTTGAGGCTGGTGATGGTACAACCTCAGTCGTAGTCATCTGCGGCAGCCTTCTAGGCGCCGCTGACAGGTTATTGTCCAAGGGCATCCATCCCTCGGTCATCTCAGAGGCCTTCCAGAGGGCAGCAGCCGCCGCGGTCGAGGTTCTACACGACATGTCGCACCCCATCTCGCTCACAGATACCGCCGCCCTCCTGCAGGCTGCCAACACGTCCCTCTCGTCCAAGATTGTCTCCCAATACTCGAACCTCCTGGGCCCCATGGCTGTCAACGCTGTAACCAAGACTATAGACATCAAGACGGCCACCAACGTTGACCTCAAGAACATTCGTATCATCAAGAAGGTCGGCGGCACGATAGAGGACAGCGAGCTGGTTGACGGTCTTGTTCTTACACAGCCCGTGGTTAAGAGCGCCGGCGGACCCGCGAGGATGGAGAAGGCCCGGATTGGCCTAATTCAGTTCCAGCTGAGCCCCCCCAAGCCCGACATGGAGAACTCCATCTCGGTAAACGACTACCGCCAGATGGACAGAATCGTCAAGGAGGAGCGCATGTACCTGTTGAACATGGTCAAGAAGATCAAGAAGGCCAAGTGCAATGTCCTCTTGATCCAAAAGTCGATCCTCCGCGACGCTGTCAACGACCTGTCGCTGCACTTTTTGCAGCGCCTGGGAATCTTGGCCGTCAAGGACATTGAGCGCGACGAGGTCGAGTTCATCTGCAAGTCAACCGGGTGTAAGCCCATCGCCGACATCGACAGCTTCACCGAGGATAAGCTGGGATCGGCGGACCTGGTGGAGGAGGTGCACAGCTCGGGCAGTCGCATGGTCAAGGTCCTGGGCACCAAGTCGGCCGGCAAGACTGTGTCGGTGGTGGTGCGCGGCGCCAACAATCTGATTCTTGACGAGGCCGAGCGGTCGCTGCACGACGCCCTGTGTGTGGTGCGGTGCCTGGTGAAGAAGAAGGCCCTCATTGCCGGCGGTGGCGCTGCCGAGATTGAGATTGCCGCCCAGATCAGCAAGCAGTCGCGCGTCCTCAGCGGCACCGAGGCCATTTGCTGGAAGGCCTTTGCTGATGCCATGGAGGTGATCCCGACCACCCTGGCCGAGAACGCCGGGCTTAACAGCATCAAGGTCGTGACGGACCTGCGTTATCGCCATGAGCTCGGTGAGAAGAATGCCGGCGTCAGCATCAAGAGCGGCGGTGTCAATTCGAATATTGTCAAGGAGAATGTGCTACAGCCGCTGCTTGTCAGCACCAGCGCTATTGAGCTGGCAGCCGAGACTGTCAAGATGATTCTGCGTATTGATGATATTGCCTTGAGCAGGTAAAGAATGTCATAAATAAAGGAGAAGGGAGTTACAACATAGGATGCCATAATCGGGGCAGATAGCGCGCTAGCAGGTCTACTTTCCCATAAATAGGTGGATAGCGAGGGTTGCATGATTAACGTAGCCCAAGCCATATCCCAATCATGGGACTCTAGCAAAATAACAATATGTGTAACCAAAGCACCTAACTCGTTAGTCCCCATTTGTGTATGCCATTGCGGAAGAGAAGCTAGCGAGGTTTGTGTACTTTACAGCCAGCCACGTGAGGAGCCAGCCGAAAAGCACCACCTCGGAAGCGGGTTTTGGCTGATGAACCAGACCTCAAACCTCGTGCTGGACTAAGTCACAAAGAACCCTCCCTCCCACATCCTAGTCAAGACCCACGATAGAGCAGTCCACTCTCGACAGCACCCAAAACACAACAGCGTCAGTGGTTTAGTGGTAAAATCCATCGTTGCCCTCTGTATACAGATTCGGTGGGCCCCGCATTCGATTCGCGGCTGACGCATCCCTTTTTTGAAAATTCGCAGTTGGGAGTGCTATTAGTTTTCCAGAGTTTCTTTCCCTTTCCTTTGTTAGAATGACAAGGTCATTCATAATAGTCACTATAGTAACCGTTGCGAAAGGGATGGTTGGGAGACTGGTGGTATGTTCATTTATCTCTGGTCTATGTAAAAGGATCACGAACTACGAGGACAGGATGCGGGCGCATTTGGTGGGGGTTGATCACGTGCTTGCGCACGTGTGGCCCGTGCGCTTGGCGTCACGTGCAGGGCGTATGTGCCCTGCGCATTGGTGGTTCCCCACTTGTTTTCCCTGTCGACCAATCACAGCCCTGCAGCCGCATGAGCCTGATTGATCGGTAATTCCTACACCTTATCTTTCCTTCTTCTTTTTTAAAACATGCTTGGTATGAGGATAGTTTTCTCTAGAATGTATATTTTGTAATAATACATGACGGCACGCACTCCTCCTAATCTACCTACCTACCTACGGATACTCGAATAAACTCAAAGCCTGGGAGGGGAAAGTTAAACCCCCTCAGAGACTAGAAAAGTACATAAATAACAAAATGAAAAAAAGCGAAAAAACCAAGCCCGCCGCAACTGTGTACCAGAGCGTCCGCCGGCAATTTCCTTCTGCGCTTCAAATTCGCGATACTCTCGCCTTCATCTCGTCTCCCTCTCGCCTGCTCTCATCGTGGCCTTTGAAAATAAGTGTCTTTAGCAGCAAAAGGAGAAAGGCAAGACGAACTGCGTATATGGAACGCCTTAAACGCCTATCACCGCACCATGATCATGAAATATTCTTAGCCACACCCCTTGACTATTACCATCTCAGAAAAGTACTCCAACCCGCAAGACATTCGGGGGCCATTCACCAAGTCGGGGCTTTCCCAAACTGGATAAACAAACTGCGAATTCTAGTAGTTGAGCTCCCCACCGCCACCGCTTGAAACCTGATCAAGATCTTCGTAGCTTTTAATGGTTCGCCCCTGTACTGCCTCGCGTGGTCCCATGGCAGCGCCGCCGGCACCGTCACCCCATCGGTTGGCTGGGCCCGGTCGGCCTCGTCCGCCCATTGCGCTAGCTACACCAACGTCTGGCGCATAGCGCGGGTTTGGTCGGCGTTCATAAGGACCCGTACGGTTCTGGAAACGGCCTCCCGGTCCTCCCATCGGTCCGCCGCGGCGGACGGGACCGACGCCACGATCATCACCACCAGGGGCGTGCCAACCAGGGGCCGCTCCCAGAGGGGGGGCGCCCAGCAAGTTTGGTGTGAACATGGACATTGCGGCAAAGTTAGGAAAACCAATCATGTTGTTCATGGCATAGTTGGAGAGGTTGAAGCCACGCGGCGTGCCTGTTGGCGTCTGCCCGTTCGTAGGGGGGAAGTGTCCGTTCGAGTTTGCGTCGGTGCGGGACGGGGCAATGTGTGCAGGATCAATGATATAAGCATTGACCAACTCAAACTATATCAAAGTTAGTCGGCATCGAAGAGCATGGAATATTGTGGCGGCTGTCTTACCTCTTCCTTGAGCTTGTCTAGCCACTCAGCATGGCGTTTTTCCACATGCTTCCTCCAGAAATGCTCCTCCTTAAATAGCTTTGTGCAGTCTGGGACTTTGCACCGCCATTTATGTTCATCTTCTTGCTTGACGTGCTTGACAAACTCTTCATTGAGCGCGTCTTCGATCGGCTTTCCACCGAGTTTTCGAATGTCAACTGATTCAGGATCGAGGATTTGCATGATTTTGTCCTCAAATGTTTTCACCCAGTTATACGCCCGTTGGAGCTGTTGTTCTGTTTTGGACGAAGTGCGAAACTTGCGGTCCGCCTCAGGGGCCTCGCCCTCCTCGAGATCCTCAGCTTCTTTGCGCTTTTTGGATGGAAAAGGTTCGCCAAGCGCGCTGGCTCGGGCAACAGCTTTAGCCGTCGACGACAGAGTGCTCCGCGGCCGACGGAGATGCCCGCCGGGGCACTTGCGGGTCAACTCGTGGATCGAGTCGCTCTCAAAGACGCAGAAAAAGCAGAAGTTGAAGACACGCCGGAGATACTCGATCATAAGATCCAGTTCCTTCTTCTTGACAAGGAGGTCTTCATCGTCAACCTCATCGTCAACGGCACCCTCCTCTTCTTCGTCGTCGACTTCCATATCAGCCAGCTCTTCTCCGTCCTCGACAGCCTCGTCCATTCCAACCGCAAGGTTCTTTTTGGGCTTCTTGACGGTTGGGCTCGACAAAACAGGTTGCAGACGTCCGGCGTTTTTGAGATCTTCAACGCGCTCAACAATTTTAAGGGTAGCGTTGAAGTCGGATCCAAAATCCTCTTCAAATTTGTTGACAAGGCGCTTGACAAGATCGAGGTCTTTTACGATGCGCTCTGGCGCCGAGAAGAGATCCCACAATGCCTTTTTTCTAGGATTCGTTGGGGGGTTGTGAACACCGACGTGGCAAGTGAAATCTCCTCGTTGCTCATCCTTGACCGTCTTGCCGTTTATTGCCTCAAGAGCCTTGTCGGCAGTTGAGACGGGAGCAGGGGTTGTTGGGATAAACCCTTCTTCCTGCTCCTCAGTGACACTCTCTAGACCTCCAGAACCAGGCGCCTCTGCAGCTGGATGCAGCATGATCCAGCCGATTCGGTGAAATCGCTTGCTTGGGTTCGGGTCACTAAGAGACAGCCACTTAAAGCCACCCTCTTCCTCGCCAAGATGCTCCTTGCAAAAGGCCTCCAAGTTATGACGGCTGACGGAAGGCGCAATAGTCTTGATGAGGAGGGTTGGTTGAAATAGATTCTCGTCTCTGATGTCGGCGTTGTTGGTAGGAACCAGGTCGCCAACTCCAAGAACCTCGTTTGCGGCAGTTGCTTCGCCCTCCTCCTTTTCGACAATGCCGCCAGCGCCGTTGCTCTCGCTTTTCGGGATACCTTCCAGGGAAAACTCGTCAAATGTCCCCGACTCCAGGTCCTGTTCCCACTGGGTGTAGGCGCCACGACGAAATTCGTTCAGCTTCGCTTTAAATCCATCCCTGATCTCAGGGACATAGCGCTCTCTGAACCATTGTTCCTCCTTGTGTTGTTTAACGAATGTTTGGGCCATTTTTCCTTGGAGATCTTCCTTGTACGAATCGTACGCGGCTTGGATCCGAGCCTTTTCCTTGTCCCGCTCCTCTAGAATCTCACGCTGCCCGCGGACACGGTCAGGCTCACGGCGACGGCCTGTTCGCTGGCGTTCCTTCTCCTCCTTGATTTTCTCATTGGCACGCCACCACTCGCCGAAGTAGGAGAATCCAACCTGATAAGAAAGCTTGATTGGGTCGGGAATGGGGTTAGTCAGAGGCTGTGCAGGTGCACTTTCCTGGCCTGGCACATAACGATCGATATTGGCAGGCGGTGAGCCAATACGGCGAGGGCGGTCATCTCTATCCCGAGTGCCGGCATATTCGTCTCGGGCTCGCGCTCTCGGCTCATACCTATCGACAGCAAGGGGAGAGCGCGACCGCCGGCGGCTACGATCGGGACCTAAAGAGACAGGTAAGCATGTGTAGGCAGGAGTGGAAGAAACATCAGGCGACAAGACAATCGACAATACAAAAACACAAGCGTCCCATACGGCCCTGAAGTAGTGCAGGGACACGAGAATGACAGGTGTGTATTACGCACCAGGAGATCTACCGCCACGGTAGAAACCATCAGATCCTCTCTCCTCTTTGATCCTGGGATCGTCGCGGGCACTCCAGCCTCGGTCGCCAGGCGAGCGGGCAGGCGCGTCCCGATAATTGAATGAGTCCATGACAGTCGAAGCACTGATAGCGTGCCGTGGTTGGCATTAACCTCGGGTCTAAAAATGGCGCCGGCTGAGTCCGAGACCTTTTTGGTAGTGGCGGATCAGAAAAGAGGGAATGCGCGAAAGACAACGGGCGACGAGAGCAGCGCGTGTCGTCAGCACGGCGGCGGCGGAATGGGTATGAGACTGCTGAAATCCGGTTGCGCCCAGGCGCGGGGCCGTGTTTGCTGCTTGCTAAGTGATGCCGGAAATTGGACGGATGCTTGCTCGTAGATGGTGTCCACTATTTGGCGACATGATTGCGGTTAGAAAGATAATTCTGGCGGCTGGCTGAGATGAAGCAAATATGGGTAGAAGAGGACACAGGTTGATATCGACAATGGGGCAGAGGCGACCGGGACAGACAGCTGGGCGCATGAAGCCGCCGGGCGCACTGGGGAGAACCCAAGCCAACAAAGGCAGATGATGAGGGGGCTGCGCTGACAGCGACAATTGATGGAGAGGCAGAGGCAAAGACGAGGTGGAGGAGTAGGGCGAGTCGGACGACGACTGACGACGATGACAAGAAAGTAGGAACTAACGTCCAGCAGCTGGATCAAGTGTAATCCCGTAACGGACAAGGTGCAGGTACCCAATACAAGATAGAAAAGAAACCCTTCCGAAGAAAAGAAAAAAGAAGAATAAGAGAAAGAGAAGGCGGAACGAACAATTACATGGAGTGCGAGCTGTGCGACTCCTCAAGCAGCGAACGTGCGCGCGTCGAGGTTGACCTCGTGAAATCGCGGCTGCGCCAGGTTCAAGATGGATGGATGCGAGTTCTCAATCGCCGCCCGCTTCTCGGGGGTCCGGCCACCTTTCTCAATCACGTGAATGCGGAAGCTCTGAGATGCTTTGTTGGCTGGGACCGTACGTTCTCGGGAGGGAGCTGTGGGGATTTCGCCGCACGCAAGGGGTCCACTCTGCCCGGTGCCACGCCTTGCTGTTTTAGGATTAACGTGGGGAGCATGCACCTCCGCTCTCAGCCCAGTCCCCCTGAATGGTTGTTGGTGTGGTACTGGGGGAGAATCAATATTATAGCAAAATAGGCCAGTCATGGAAAGTATTTGGTAGGTATGTGAAGGGCAAAGATGGACCTCAAGGGCATTCCAATAGCTATCACCGCCCTCGGCGAAAACCATTTAGGGCGAGCAGTACGGCATTGAAGCCATTTGGATCTCGGAAAGT